GCTCAGAATCACTTGGAAACTTCAGAATTTAAAATGCTGTTACCTAGGCGTACCCCAGACCATTAAGTCCAAATCTCTGGGAACAGACGCTAAGCATTGGCATCTTTTAAAAATTCCCCAAGTGTGTAGCTACACCACTCAGTTCTCTTGAGCTTCCCATATGTCACAACCACTGGGGTTGTACCACAGAGGGGAGAAAGTCCTGCTTTAAATTCCTCAATATGGTAGAGGAACAAGGATGTCACAGTTAGATCACCCAGGCTTTAAGTTTGTATCTTAGAGGCTTCTCTCTAAATTGTCTGCCTTCTTAATGCAAAGCAAAAGCTCCAAGGTTTAGGTTCAGCCTTAATATCGTCTATTGACAAGATGCTTCCTTTCTCTTTTTCCCAGTGATGCCTTCTCAGAATGCTGTGCTTCCCCAAGAAGGAAACATGGAGGAGAAGGAAATGAATGTTGGGTCACAGATAGTCAGTTCTCAGGTAAGCTCATTTCGCTCCTCTGAAATGCTGTTGCAGTTCTCAGAATGTGGTTCTTCTATTTTTCAACCCTCAGAAGTGCTAAGCCCCCCAAATCCAGAGCCCTTGAGACTCTTCTGACTCTTCTAATCTCTCCAGGGTGTTTCCCATTCACCTTATGTGCCCCTTCATAGCTCTTCTCTCCTGTCAGCATTTTTACTAGATCACGGACTCATGTCTGTGCTAGATGTTGTAAAGGCAACACAGGAAGCTACAGACCATCTTTTAATCACCCTTCCCTTAAACAGCTCACTAGAATTTAAACACTTGTCATTCTGTCTGTAAGCAATGAATGATGCCCATGTCACTGTGACTGCTTGGAGATAATGAGATTATTAATATACCTGAGGACATCTGTTGCCACAGGTTAATGCTTATCGAGGATCTGTTGTATCTCTTCCAAAACCTGTGCAAGCCTGTTGTTACTATTTGATTAAGTATTATGTAAACCAGTGAGGTATAAGCGTGACAAGAAGCTATTTCTGTGAAGACTAGTTGAATGCTTTAGATGCCAGTCACCTTATAAACTACTGCCTTCGAATTGGGTGTGAGCAGAACTGTAAAACATTGAAGGAAAATCATTAAAATCTCAAAGGATTCTCCAGCTGTATTATTTCCTAAGAGTCATTCGCTTGTTCTGCTTTAACCAAGCAGAAACTGATGTTATGGATCTGGGCACTCAGTCACTTAGATCACTTTCATAGGAAAGTGATATCAAAAGATAAGGGAATAAATGTACGTTCATGTGTTTTAAGTTTTAAAAAATGTTTAAAATATCTTTTATAGATCTCCACTTTAACCAGCCCTTTTGCTTACACACTAGATACCAGTCTTGATTGCTTCTGAAAGGAGGACTGTTCCATATTATATGAGATAATCATTATCTGTAGGTAGCAAATAAACTCATTGGAGGAGATTTTTAAAAGCCGACATCACCCAGTTAATATTCAGAAAACTATAATGTAAGATGCTGCTATGAATGCCAAAGACAGCAAATACAGCAGGTGCTCAGAGAGGGAAGACTTCATGAAGAAGGGAGAGTTTGAATTTGTGCTGATGTCAGGTAGGGCTTGTAGGTTAGAGAAGACAGGAAATAAAACTTGAGCAAGAGCAGGGACAATAAGGAGACTTGTCAGCTGGAGTGGAGCCTTTTTTGGTATGTCAGTGCTTTGGGATCTTTGGGCTACAAGGAATAGATTCATTCGGTTTACTCTTAATTGTAAGGCTCCCCACAGAGATAGAAAGGCGTAGAGAACTCAGGTAGCATATCCGCTTCTTGGTGTTCTAGCCAGAGGAGTTTGCTTTAATTTCCAAGAACCATTTATTGTGTTCAGAAGGAAGGTGATTCCTTCATTCAGCAAACATTTTTGGGGCAGTTGCTATGTGCCAGAAATTGTGCATGACATCAGATGGACATCCGTGAGCAAAACAGACATGGTCCTAAACCCAAGTTCTTTAGTCTAGCAGAGACAGACATTCAACAAATATACTAATAAA